ACAGGTGGTGAGGAATGCACCAGGTTAAGAACCTAGTAACTGTTGGAAACTTCGAGGATTTCAACCAAGGTTATAAGTATTGTCAGTGAAAATATGATGGACGGTTTCTTGGGCTTGGTTTCCTAGACTTGGGATAGCAAATAGAGGCTTTCAAAAGTTCAATCCAAGATTCCTTATAATAACTCCCAGGCAGAAATTAATTTTTTGGGCTTAACAGTTGTTGAATACTGTGTGGCTCTAAATAGGCAAAGCAAACCCAGGAAGGCCTATATGGCTAATATTAACACTCTCAGTGCACCAATGTAAATAATTTGGCCAAACCTGTTGAGACCAGCCTTTTCCTGTGAGTAAAAATTATCTCTGAGATTATTATGATGACGGGGAGAACATGGAAGAACTGTCAGGCAGACTGTGAAAAACTTGAACTGAGATGACTGGGTATCTATTCAGTGGAATAATAGGTCTGTCTAGCATACTCTTCTGGGTTATATGATTCTACAGGGGTCTGCACCTTTTAGTATTTTTAACTGAGCTATTTTATAATTCTGTAAGTTACACAAAACTGACATCATTGCAAACAAATCTTGTCCAGTGAAGACACAATTAATCCACACACCCACCCCATCCATGGAAGAAGCCAACTGTGCATCAACTTACGAATTCATCTTAGCATTCTCCACTGCCTATGTATGTGTCTGCTCTTTGGATCTTCCTTTGGACTGCTTGTAACACCTTACTGATTCCCTTACTAATTAATGACTAATATAAAATCTTTGACATGTACTCATTAAAAAAAAAGTCAATTGTTTTCTCACTCACTCTCCTGGTTGTTATTTCAGACTTTTTAAAGCATGGAGTGCCACCATTCTGACTTTCAGAGGCATGAAGGAAAACCTATCTAGTTGAAAAGACTCGCAACTCTTGTGATTTGAGCTACGTTTCATTTGTTAAGGCATCTTGATACACACCAGAGATCTTGTAAAACCAAAAAAGCTACAGAATGAACTGCTTTGTCACTCACAGCTGGCAGCAACATTCGGCAACAAATCCGTAATTTACGGTATCCTAGTACGGTTAATATTCCAATATGGAAGAGTAGAACACAGTGATACGTGCCGGATTCTAAGCTTTATAATAAAGCTGCTCAGGGACTTCTTGATCTAAGGATTAAAAATATAACCACCTTGCAATTAAAAACTCAGTGAGGGAACATTCCCAGGTTCACATATTAAGGGTTATAAAGAAGGAAAAGATAACTGCTTCTTACATCATGTTCATCTGACATCACTGTAGCATTTATACTAGAAATCATTTTGAAACTGGTTATTATTTCATGGATGAGTTCTCCATGTACTGTACTGCACACACTCTTAGGAATGCGCAAAAGCCCCACTTTTCACAACCACCAGGATCCGCCATCTATAAATACTATACTTAGTGGGATGGCCTCATTTCCTTTCTCACCAGTCCTAGAGACAACATATGTCTCATCAGGCCCAGCTATATAATTTGGGGGGTCCAGAGCAAAATGAAAATACAAGGCTGCTTGTTAAAAGTTTATTAAGGATTACAAGATGGTGCGGCAGAGCATTAAACCAAGTGCAGGGCCCTTCAAAGAATGGGGCCTTGTGTAACTGCACAGGTCCAACACCTACAAAGCTGGTCCTGTGTCTGATGCTTCAGGGAGAAGGAGAGAAACAGCTTTCTCAGACACAGGCTAACATCTGCCCAAATGTCAACTTAGGCCCTCTTCCATCCCAAAGCAGGGGGAATTTAAATGTACAGCATCTTTTATTTATTTGATGAAAAGTCCAGGTCATTTGGTGAAAATCTAATTAGCTATGCATCTACTACCAGATATCTCACTGTCCTATATTCACAAGTCTTCCAAGCCTCCAAGGATCAGAAAAGGCTCACAAGCAAGCCACATAAGTGATGTCTCCCAGAAAATGACATCTAAGGCCATCCCATGCAAAGGGATCCTGAAAGGGATCTGTCTCCTCAGGGATCCTTGGGACATAGCCAGTCTGAACCTGAACTCAGGGACCCCTGTCTGAGAGCATCAATTTGAACATCAGCAGTATTCTATTTTGCTGTTTACTGGCGAGGGTGGAAATTCAGATTAGGCACTGCCCCCCTGTCCACTTGCATTGTCCTGCACCCACTGTATTCAGTTCACGATGGTCTCTGTTTTGAGTAACCTCCTGATTCTGAGAACTATGAGAATCTCTTCATTTCCTAAGATCCAAATCAAGAGTGACTCCTCCCAATGAGGCCTCCCACCTTCCAGTAAAACTAGTGAGCTGTCCCATCTTTACCCATTTTCATACTTCTAGCATAGCTCCATGAGGGCAGAGACTGTTTTCTTACTTGCTTTTTTGTCTTAAGTGTCTAATGCAGTCTGGTATGTGTTAGAGCTCAGTAAATACTTGTTGAACAAATTATAGAGGGATTAGACACATGTGGCAATATTTCCATAGAAAATGCAACAAACAGAGAAACAGTACTCATATCCAAGAGTATGATTTCTGACTTATAATTTTTATTAATAAGAAAAATTTTAACAACTGCCAATTATGAAAACTTTATTCCCGGGCTAATTATTTTACATGCACTACATCATTTATATTTTTTGACAACCACGTGAGGGTTTTTCTCTTTAATATTATCCTTATATTAGAGATGAGGAAACAGAATCAGAGAGGTGAAGTGCCTTACTTAAAGGCTATAAGGTCATGAGCGAAGGGCTGGCTCAGATACAGCAGGTGCTGACTCAGAAGACTGCATGCTAATGACCACACTCTACAGCCCTTCTCCTTCGACAAGATTCTACCCTCTCTGAAAACTCTAACTTCTAATACTATTATGTGTTTAGTTAAATAGTCAGAAATAAGAAAGACATCTCTAGCCCTCTATCCTAATAGTTCCCTAGCACTACAGTGGGGAATGCTCCTAAGTCTCACAGATTTACAAAAAGAGAAAGGATAAAACATATTGATCCTTGCTTCCCTCCCCCCAAATCTACAAGCTGAATGTAAGAATTCTACTTCTTTCATTACTTTAAATGCAATTTACTTGATTCAAGTAGAAAAGCAAATTCTCCCAATGTATATTTTTTACAAAAAGCCCATTTCTTTACAAAAGCCTTACACATGGTAAATCAAGAACTGGGATTTTGGAAAGAGGAAGGAAAAACACAGGCCATGAGTGCCCAAGGTTATGTTTGGGACTGAGCCTCATGCAACCTGCTGATTCCTGTCTTGGCAGAGGGTCCCAACACAAGAGACAGCACAGATCTTTAGCGCTGCTTTAAATCAAGTTGTATTCAATCGCCAGAAAGTCTTAGAAGCCTAAGAAAACACTATTAGAAAGAAAAGTTATGGTCATAAAGTTGGTCATGAAATGATAGACATTATGTAAGAATAAAAAGGCCAAGCACCATTATTAGCTATGACAAGGTGGGCATGGGAAAATAAATGTCCAGGTTCACGTTTCTGTAACAACTGAAAGACATAACTGGTCTCTGAAACTGGACCCTTTTCTTTGCTTTCCCCCCACAGAGCTAGCCCAGCACACAATCACATTCTACTTGCTACAGGGGATAAAAGCACCAAAATGTTTCAAATGCAGATAATATTGTGTAAAAGTGTACTTTCTTAGCTTTTCCCCCTTGGACTTGGAAATATTTTCATTATCATCAATCACTTTCTTTAATGCTAAAGCTTTCTCTGCTTTGATGGGATTTTTACATACCAAATCAAATCAGTTACAAAAATATCCTATTTCCTGCTGCTGAAGGAGGTTAAGAAATGGCAGAACCCAGAAGACATGTGGAGCTGTCCCTCCACAGGATGGGTGGACATTTCCATGCCAAGGGAGAGCAGTTTCTCCACCCTGAAGAGTCCAGTCTGCTCTCCCCAGTTCCTAAGCTCACCAACTACATCCCTGATTTGGAACTATGACCACCATTAGTCACACTGGAGCAAAGAAGGGAAACCGGGAATAGTAGGAGAGTAAGAGGCAGCCTTGGGCCCCAAGCAGAAAAACAGAGCATGGAGGGTACCGTATGTTTTTCAGTGTTCATTTTTGTGTCCCCAGGCCCTTGCATAGCACTGGATATGCAGTGGGTACTGAGCAGTTCCCTGCAGGACTGAACTGAGGTTTGGGAGACCTAAGTTCCAAGCTGGGATCTTTGAGGATAGTACCTCAATATTCTCATCTAGAAAATGATATCTGACCTCTCTCTTTTATAGGGTTATTGAAAGATTAAACTGAGTCTGTATGTTTTGAAAGCTCTTTGACAAAACATTAGGTGCTATCCAAGTACAAGAATCACTGACTGCCAACCCAGCGGCCGACTTCCAGGGTGAAGGAGTGGCTGCTGTGGGAATGCTCCTGTGACCTCCTCTTTCCTGCCTGGTGCTCCCTGCCCCTTCTTTCTGTGCCTTCTTTGTGAATTCCATTCAGCAGCGCCAGTGGCTTCTCTATCTCCGCCCCGGCTTTCAGACCCACTCTAACAGAGTTGACACCGATTGATGCTGGGGACATTAACTTCTAGCTCTGTGACACCAGGGCAACCCCTCTCAGGCTAAGACCTGGTGACAAGGAGCTCCTCACAGAGCTCACTTTATGTGTCACTAAGCTTGAATTAGATAAAACATCAGGCATAGGCTTTCTGCCATCCTTCCTGTTTAAAGCCACCTCTGCCTGGTGGCTCCTGAGCTCAGCAGCCTGCCTGCCTCCGCAGGCAGGCTCTGAGGCGTGATTCTATCCACACGGACTCCAAGCAGGGCCCATTCTGGTTCCTGAAAGGACAAGTCTGTACTTCTTAAAAACTGTTAGACCTACTTGTTTAGGCTGTACTTTTCTAGGACTGAGAGACGACATCCACATGTTATGGCTTTTCCTTTCTTAACAAGCTGTAGGGCAGCGTCCTTTGTTCTAGCTTTCGGCTGGAAATCTTTTCTCAGAGTTCTTTACAAAAGCACCAGCAGCCTTACTTGTGTCCTTGGAGCTCGATGGCTGTTCCTTTTCTCCCACCGATGTCCCACATGATGACGGAGTGATCTGAACTGCCAGAGAACAACACCCGCTGGACTGGGTCCCAGCAGAGAGCAGTCACCCCACCTGAGAGGATGGACAAAGCCAGGCATTAGTTACAAAGAAACAATGTTACTTACCAAAGAAATGAGAATGTGAAGGAGTTAGGATCTAATGCAGTTCCTGGCATACAATAAATTCTTGTTGAAAGAACAAATGAGTAAGTCCCCAAAAAGAAAAAAATTGGTTCCAAGAATAGAAATCCCACCCTTTAAGTTTTCCTCATAATTTAATGAACCATAAAATCAATTACTATAAAGACCAAAAGGAAATGAAAACAAAAAACTGACGATCAAAAAACAGACATAATTTTAAGAAGAATGCAAAATATTGCACTGTTTGGAAATATTAACCATATTTTCTCAATTGCTTCCTACCTCTCACCCTGACAACAGATTAGAAATAAATGGGTTTAAAAATACTCAGTTAGATTTTTTATTCTTGAACAACAGATATAATTAAGCTATAGTATCGAAATTAAATTTTTTTTTGTTTTTGAGAATTTTAATTTACATATTCCGGGCAAATCACTTTTATCCCTAAGTGTCAGTTTCCTCCACTGTAAAATGGGGATGATGGTAATACCACAATTATTACTACTAATGATAATATCAGTCTAACCATTTCCTACTTTATAGGATTGTGGTGAGAATTAGATCAATTACACAGGATCACTCTGTAAACTGTAGTGTGCAGTACGGATGTTAGTTATTAGGACGACTCTAGTGGTATAGCTATAAAATATTTTTGACAGATTTTCTTCTATGGTAGTCCCCTTATAAATCAAACTCCTTGTGTACCGAGAACAGTAATAATTTTTTCCATACAGGGTGAGCACAAAGCCTATAAATACTTAAGAATGTCAGAAATACTCATTCTTTTTTACGTTGTTGAAATATACTGCATCTGAAAAGAACATAAAATAGCTTATTTGTTTGAATCTGACATTTTTCTTATTTAGCTTATCAATTTGTTTTAATGAAGTGCTATATTTTTAAAAGGTTTTGGGGAAGTTCCTTTCATATAAGTGTCTCAGAAGATTTTTTTTAAGCTCAGAAGAGAAAAAAAAAACACTATTCTGGATTGTGCTTATGAGCTTCTTCCTCTATCTGCACACCACTCTGCTTGTATATACTCCTGTCCACGTGAGAATGAATATCACTCGCCCCAGTGCATACGTATGTAGTTAACCAGCCACTGCAGCTCCCAGCCCTCACCCCCTACCACCACCATCCACCTCTCACAGCAGCCACACACAAGGCCGACTGTAGACAGGCTCTAGTAGTGTCTGTTGAATGAACAAATGAACAGATGAATGAAAATACAAAGATCTTTTTTTTCTCCACTTAAGTCCTAGCTTAAATGCCACCTCCTTAGAGACACTGTCTTTGACCACTCTCAGGGCTCTCCTCCTTACTGTTTTTTTTAATAGACTGAATGACTGTATACTGCCCCAACAGAATGTATGTTTGAGGAGGACCGGAGGTGCGGCTTATTCACCACACTATCCCCAGTACCTAGAATTCTTTCTGCCTGGCTTACAGTTGAGCACTCAGTAAGCATACACAACTGAGCACATGATCAATGAAGGAGTGAGAATATGAATGAATGCCCTTGGCCTTATTCTGAGCAGATGAAACAGGCATATTACAGCTCCTTCCTGGCTGATCAATGCTGTTGATGTGGTGCTTCCTCTCTTCTATTATGCACACCTTTTAGGTCAGGAAATGCTCACCTCAAGAAGAATCTCTGAGATGTTTTTGCTTGACTGGTTAAGCAAATATGATTAGAGGGATACATAAGAGAAAAGTGACAAATGTATGATTTCCCCTATACACCATGTAAATGGTAGGTCAGGTTCTTTAAAGCATCATGAGTGGGCACCAGTAAAAAGAATGGCTAGAAAGGCTTAACTGACTCAATTAAAGATTTATTGGAGGGGCTTTTCACCCCATCAGAATGGAAGTGGAAATACTTAAATGGGGCTTACGATGTACCAGGTGATAGTTACCTTCAGGGTCTCCCACCAATACACACCCACATCCACAAACACTGCACCATGAGAAACAGGCCCTCTGCTGACTTCGGTGTGAGCATGGTTTATGGTGAAGGAAGTGAATGTTTAGATACAGCATTGTAAGTGCACAGGCTCTGGGACCAGATTCTAGGCTCCATCTGAAGTGCCTGTCCTACCTTTTAACACCTATGTAACTTTTTCTCCCTCTTCAAGGTGCAGCTCAGGTGCCTTCTCCTCCAGGAAGCCTTCTCCAACTCCTTCAACCTAGGTAAGGTTCCAGCCTCTGTGCATGTCTCTACTGTTACACTGTCCCCACTATACATCTGATTACAAATCCGTCCCTGCAGTAGACAGTGGGTTTTGTATCTTTGTATCTGAGCCTAGTGCACAGTGCCTGGCACACAGGATGTGCTCGATAAATGCTTACTCAACTGGCCAGCTGAATTGGATGGCAGAGAGAAATAGGAGGAAAATAAACAAGAGGTTCTGGGAGAGCCTCTGGGGTAGAGGCTAGCGGGAAGCCAGTGCAGGAAGAGACACTGAGGAGCACACAGAAGCGGAAGGGAGAGCTACTGACGGAAATAGACATGGCTTCCTGATGAACAGTTGTCCTTTCTCCTCAACACTTTTGGCAGCAGGGAAAATCAATCATCATCAGCAAGCCTACATTCCAGTAAGACACATGCACCTCATGCCCCAACCCACAGCAAGGGCAGGGGCTACAACGGCTGCAGTTTTCTGGTGTTTATGATATTCTGAATGACAAAATCATTTCTCCCATTTTGCTTTACTTCCTTTCAGATCAATACATCTTTCTGCTCCCCTTCAATGTCTCATCTTTAAGTTAAAATGATTTAATTCTTAAAAATAAAGATTTTTAGTTAATCTTTAATGGGTATAGAACTTCTGTTTTGAATGATAAAAAAGTTCTGGAAATAGAGGTATTGGTCGCACAGCATTGTCAATGTACATATGTCACTGAATTATACACTCAAAAATGGTTGAAATGGTAAATTTTATATTATGAATATTTTATCAGAATAAAAAAATTGGTAAAATATTTTTAAGGCAAATTTTTATAATTACAAAATTTATCTATGCAATATATACTCATAAATGTATATACTTTCATAAATGTACTTGTTAATGGCCAGGTAATATCCCATCGCATGTATGTATCTTATTTCACCTATTGTTAGGTTTTTCTCAACTTTTAAGTATTATAAATTTTGCTAAGATGAGCATTTTTATATATACTACTTTGTTCACAAAAGTTCTGCCTAGTTAAAAGAGAATCCCAGAGATGGAGCTAGATCAAAGAGTACAAACATTTTTAGAAATTTAGTACATGTTACCAAAATGCTTAGTGAACTAATTTTTTTTAGAGAATTTTACAACATACCTTGCAAAAGCAAAAACTATGTGGAGCGTTGCAAAATCGGGGTTGGAAACTGGAGGGTTGGAAACTGCTGGGTCTGTCTCTAGAGTGGGATATGGTAACTCACCAAGAGTGTTACATCATACCCTCAAGGGTAAGGTGTAGGACAGCATGTGGCTGAAGGAGAGCCTAAGTTCGGTCCTCAGACCATGAAGCCTCTTGAATAAAATAGTCGACTTTTTGGTTACTGCATTTTGCTCTAGGTTCAAGTGATGTGGGTCTTTGTAAAGCTAAATGTGCTCCATCTCTAGGCTATACCTTCTTCCTGAGATCCATAAATGTCCATCCAGCTGTCTCCTTGCCACCACTCCAAGGATGGATCCTGAACATGTTCAGCTCAAATGCTGTGACACTCTCCCAAACTTGCTCTACCTCCAGTGTCCTGGCTTCAGGAAATGGCATCACCATCCACCCAAAAGCTCCAGAAAGAAGCCTGAGGAGTCACTCCTCTCCAATTGATCACCAAGTGAGGCTGAACCCTAATCTCCAAATAGCTCTCAAATCCCTCCTATCATCTCCACACACACTGCTGCCCCCCTCATCCAAACAAGTATCACCCTTTCTAGGGACTCCAGCAGTAGCCTTCTAAGTGGTCTTCCACATCCATTTTTGTCGCCACTCAATCTCTCACCCACTGCTGCCACAGTGACTTATTACAATGCAGACCACGTTATTATGCTGTTTAAACTTAATCACTGATTTCCCACCACCTGAGAATAACATCTGAACTTCCTAATGCTGCTTAAGGTCAACCTATTCCTCCACCCTGCTCTCGCATGGGCTGTTTGCTTCCTGCAGTTGTTCATGTTCTCCCCTCCAGGCTTCACAGCTGCTGTCCCTGGGGCCTGAAATGTACCCACCACCTGGGTCAATCCTCTTTCCCTTAAGGTGCTATTTAAACACCACTTCCTAGGGCAGCCCCCCTTAGCTTTTTGCACAAGGAGAAGTCCTCTTGTCCTCTGCTTCCAAAGCTGCCAGCACTTGCTATGCTCGTCATGTTTTGATGAATTACCTGTAATTGCTGACTTAACGCTTGTATTCCATTCTGGACTGGAAGTTCAATAAGGGTAAGGATTATGCTTGTTTTATCTACCTACATATCCCAGCATCCATCCTATGATGGATGGATGAAACTGCTGACGGCCTGACTGACTCTTGATGACAATTCACATCTACTAACTTGCACTTTATAGAAATAGGATCTGTGTGAAAGTCTCCATGTAAACAAAAATTAAAGTTCTCAATTTAATTATCTGAACTTGCATATTTATGTTGAACCATGCCTTTCTTGGTTTGTTTAGTTATTTTTATTATAGTTACATTGTTCCTTTTCAATAATTCTCTTAGCTAATGAACATGTCTATATTAAATTTTCATTAGTATGATTTGGCAGATTTACATTTAAGCCCTTCCATTTCATATATATGCATGCTAGTAAAAAAAATTCTTAGAAATAAAAAGATTTTATTTTATTGATATTATTAATTTCCAATGGTCAAAATAGGATCTTTTTTCCCCTTTGTTCAAGTCAGTTTATGACGTTTTAGAAGAAATACATTCTAATTTCTCCAGAAATAGTAAAGCACTATGATACTTGATATTTAGCTCCAGAAAGAAAACCAGCAGAGGGAGCATAAGAACACAAAACTAGTTTCCTAAATCCCTACGGATAGAAAATGTTATGTGTTGGCCTCTGGGCATGGCTATTAGGCTGATTCCATTATTAGCCCACATTTTTATATGACCTTTTGTACTGTGAGAAAGAGTTATGGGGTGAGGGGCTATGATTCCACATACATACTGAAGACTTGGCTGCTTCTGAGTTTGGACGTGAACTGATGAGACTGAAGACCACTCTTTAATAAATCTGGGTTTAAAGTCTTTGGTCTTTAAAAAACCCATTTCTCAGAATTGTGACCAGCTGTTTGGGACCTGCCAGAGCCCAGAATGGGCCTATCACATAGTAAGAACTCAACACTCTGTATGAATCACCATGGAATCTCAGATGTCCTCGCTCTAGCTTTGAATGAATGAGTTGTGCTGTAAACAGATTAGTGATGGGCAGACACTGCTCTCTAGGAATAATAGTAACAAGTTAAATATCTGACCTGCTACATTTGCCTTCATCTTAGTTAGTGACCTTCCTGGACCATGTCCTGACTTCCTCAAAGATATTTTGTGATAAAAATGAAACTGCTTTCGGGCCGGCCCGGTGGCACACTGGATAGTGCGCCGCTTGGGAAGCGCGGCGGAGCTCCCGCCCGAGGGTTCGGATCCCACATACGGACTGATTCCCGCTCACTGGCTGAGCGAGGCGCGGGAAGCAACACTGAGGGTTGCGATCCCGTTGCCGGTCCCCGGTCCGGTACGGGGGCAACACTGAGGGTTGCAATCCGTTGCCGGACACGGAAAAAAACAAAAGACAAAAAAAAAAAAAAAAAGAAACTGCTTTAAACTCCTTGAGAAAGATAAGACACAATACCAAGGTAACATCTTTTATTAGAACAAACCTACAAAAGAAGAGATCCTTGAGCCATACCTGGCTGACAACACAGTGGTTAGAAGCAGCTACTTACCCTTTTTCGGTCAGAGGCAAAAATACAGAACTCAGAAGACTCCTAAAGCCCCATATGGGGAATGCCTGATGACTAAGGAGTTAAGAGGTCAGGCTGTAAGCTGCCTCTGACTAAATCAAATCTGGGAAGCATCTGGTCCATCACCAGGCCAGCTGAACTCACCTCCTAAATTTCACCTTGAGTCCATCTACTCCTCACTTTCCTGTTGCCACTGTCCCATATTCAAGGAACAGTTTCCTACCAGCCTTCCAACAGCATCTCTACTCTACTGCCAGAACAATCTTTAAAATCTGATCAGATTAGCTTCTTTGCTTCAAACTCTTTAGTGGCTTCTCACTGAAGTCAGGATAATGCTCAAATGAGCCTCAGTGATCTGAAGTGACTTTTCCTTCCCTTCTGGCTGCCCCTTCCACTCTCGCCTCCTTCCTTCTCCCTCATACCCATTGTTCCAGCTGAAAAAGAGTGACTAGCAGTTCCTGGGACAGCCATACTCTTGCAAATCTCCATGCCCTGAACCATGATGGTTTTCTCTGCCTGGATTACACATTGCAGTTCGTTTTCATGAACTCAACACTTACCCCCAAAGATCTCAAGTCAAGAGACATCTCCCCTGGAGATGCCTTCCCTGACCACTGCCCACCTCCTCCCAAGTTAGCGCCCATGCTGTGTTCCTGGAAGCACTCAGTGCTTGCTCCCCACCCGCTTCTGCCACCGTGCACTATAATCACAGCTTAGCTTTTGTCTTTCACTGGTTTGTGGACAGTCATTAGAGGACAACGACTGTGCCTTTTATTTCTGTCACTGGGAGTAGTGGCTGAGATCAACAAGGGAGAGCGGAGAGTGTAAAGAGAAGAAGATCCAGGGCAGAACCTGGGATACCACAGACCACAAAGGAGTCAAAGCAAGAGCCGGCAGAGATGCAGAAGGAAAACTGCAAGAGAACGTGACACAGAAGCCAACGGAAGGCAGCTGTAGCAAGCAGGAATGGCCACAGTGTAAAATGCCACTGAAACGTTAAGAACGATGAGGTTTAAACCATGCAGGACCCTGGTCACCCTGGGGAGAGCAGTTTAAGTGGAGTAATGGAGATAAACTAGGTTTCAGGGAGCCAGAAAGAAAATGAGAGGTGAAGAATTTGAAGCTCCTGAGAAAATTACATTCTTCTAAGAAGCACTGCTGTTTTTGCTACAACCTGGCTGAATCTTGAAGATATTATGTTGAGTGACGTAAGTCAGTCACAAAAGGATGACTACTGTGTGATTTCACTCATATGAGTTACCCAGAGCAGTCAAATTCACAGAGACAGAAAGCAGAGCAATCACTGCCAGGCACTGGGAAGAGGAGGGAATGGGGAGTTAAGTGTCTGAAGGCAGAGTTTCAGTTTCACTGAAAGATGAAAAATGCTGCATGACGGGGGCCAGCCGGTTAGCTCAGCACCAAGGCCCAGGATTCCATCCCTGCACCAGCCAGCCACCAAAAAAAATGTTCTGTGTTAGATGGTGGTGATGGTTGGACAACAATGTGAATGCACTTGATGCAACTAAACAGCACATTTTAAAATGGTTAAAATGGTGAATTTTATGGTATGTATATTTTATCACAATTTTTTTTTTTTTTTAAAGGAAGCACTGCTGTTAAGAGAGTAAGATGAAAATCGCTAGAACAGGACATGGGATTGAGAGGGTTTGGGTTTCTTCAACCGAGAGGCAAGAAACTTAAGCATGTTAATAAATTGAGAAGAGAGAGTTAGTCAAAGGAAGACAAAGGGAATCGGTTTTTGCTTGGAGCCCTGGAATTAGTCTGCGGCCAGGGAAGGCAGGATCTTGCACTGAGATGAGGAGGAGGAGAGGAAAAGGTTGTTTGTTGGGGTGGAAGGGATATAGAATGGACAAGACATAAAATTTTTTATTTATCTATTTTTTTAAAAGATGACTGGTAAGGGGATCTCAACCCTCGACTTGGTGTTGTCAGCACCACACTCTCCCAAGTGAGCCACGGGCCGGCTCCAAGAAATAAAATTTTTAAAAAACTTCTATCTGATAGCTTTTGAAGGAGGAGGCTGGGGATGAGCTGAGGAAGGGGGCTTGGGGAGAGTGGATGAAGGTCTGCAAAAGCTGTTTGGGGGACCATAAGGAGTGCACTGAGGACATGTAGGGGGATTATGAGGCAACTCAGTGGGTCTGCACAGGAAATCACGACCTTGCAGTGGTAACGATGGTCTAAGGCTCACAGTGGTGCGACCTGCTGCAGAGCCAGCAGCTGGTGCACAAGGAGAAAAGGTGGACAGCTAGTGTGACTCACAGACAGACTTACCAAGAAAGAAGGACATTCTCACTCACAGAACTGAGAATACTGGCAAGCACACAGCTGCAGTGCTGCACCGCTGGGAAGGGAGGGAACACACGGGCTGATCCCTAGGAAAACGGAGGGAGAGAGGACCAGAATCCTCAACAGTGGAAGAGCAAGTGAAGAGAAGTAAGGGCTTAGGGGACTGAAAGATGAGGAGACTGAAGTCAGGAGTGAAACAGAGAACTTTAAGATTTCTGAGGTGGGACAGTTCTGGGTCTCTACCAGACACAGGCTTGGCTAGGGTGTTGTGGGCTAAAAAGAGAAGTCTGACTGCAAAAGACTGGGGTCCTATCTACAGGGGATGTTTCTATGTGTTCTTCCTCCCACAGGCCTAGATAATTAAGATGATCTTTCATGAACATTCTTCCTTGGATTCAATTTTCTCTTTACTATATGTTTCTTATTCCAGTATTCCATTTTTTTCCTTTCAGGAAATCCCCTATGGTCTAGGTACTATCCAATTTTAAATCCTCTTTCCCCTACTTTTGTTCTTACATGACATTCAAACTCAGCATTATCCCTGTTCTGCACTAAATCATGGATTGGCAGTCTGCAGAAAACACAAAAGCCCATTATGAACCATGAAAACAGGCAGTGACTCACTTTCCAGGGTCAACATTTTCTAGAGTCAAGGCTGCATGTTAAAAATACTAGTGAAAAATTCATCATAATCATCCATTCAAGTCTGTCAAAGCCTAAGAGTGAATATTTTATATTAACTTGCTTAAAAGACCCTGAACAGACCAGAAACATAAAGGGCACCTCAGGTTTTAAACTGAAAAGAACCCAAAAGGAAGGAAAGTTAAAGAGGAACTCGTCCCTTCTTACACAGCCTAGCTACCCATGATGAGTAAATTTTTCTCTTCATTTGTCTTGGAAGTGGGAATCTTTTGCGCACCATCTTCTCACTCCAAGAATGGCAAGGACAGACAGAAGCAGCTGTCCTTTTGGCCTTCAGTTTGAACAGTTGCCACATGGTTTCAAACAATGTCTTACTAACGTGTGCCAACACTGGCTTTCTTTAGTGCAATAACAAAGAACCTAATCACCAACATTGTCAAAATAGACTGGTTCCTCTTTTGTTTGGATTATGTAGAACATTTTTGACATTATATGTGACTGAACCACTTCAGAATCAATTAAGCACATCATGTGTAACTTTGCTGCTTTCAAAACACATCATCCGAACATCAGAATATGCAGCAGGTGATACATCATTGTGATGTCAGCATGGGATGATTTTGCTTTTAATCTTACCTGTGTGTCCTCTGAATGTTGTGACCAGGGTACAGTTTTCTTGCTCCAGCTTGAGGATTGTTACTTGGCCTGACTGGTCACCGATGAACACATGCCGGGTTTCAACATCAAATCTATCATGTAAGCATTAAGGATTGTTTCTCAAAATTAAATGGGGGAATTTACAATGAAAAGAAAAAGATATAAATGCAAAAAGAATTGTGCAAATCCCATGAGAAAAACCTGAAGACAGTGCTGAAAGGCACAAAAGTGGACTGAACAAAATAAAGGACATACAGTCTTACTGAACAGTAAGACTCAGCATGATAAAGATATCACTTCTCACTACATTAATTTATAAATATAATATGAACCCAATAAAGATATCAACATGTGTTATTTTCTAGAGCTAGATATGTTTATTCTAAAGGCCATATGGGAAAATAAATAAGAAGAAATAATAATATGGCATATGATGGGCGGAGTTTGGCCCTACCAGATATTAAAGTCTAGAAATAAATCCAAAAGCATATAGAAATTTAGTACATGTCTGATAAAGGTACCTCTTCAAATGAATAAGGAAAAGATGGATTAAAAAAAAAAAAAAACGATGTTGGCATAAACTGGATAGCTGTTTGGAAAAAAAAAAGTAGTATCTTTATTTCACACTGTATACCAGGATAAATTCTAAATGAATTAGGGATCTAAATGTAGAAAATGAAAACTTTTAAGTTCTAGATAGGAGAGTTTCTTTGTAACCTTGGATTGGAAAAAGCTACGACTCAAAAACACAAACAACAAATAAGCAAATCTGAAAGATGAATTGGAAAAAATATTTGCAACTTATGTTACGAAGGGTTCAAATCCCTAATAATAAAAGAGTAATCAAGAAGAAAAAGATCACAAACCTAGTAGAGAAATGGGCAAAATTTAAATGGAATTATGAATGGACAGATCAAGAAGAAAAGAAAATGGTGGTGCTGTGCAAAAAATGTTAACACAGGAGGCCTGACTGCTGTCTTTTGGAAGGCTGTTTACAAAGCTGGCACCGAGTCTGGGAACTTAGATTTTGGGAGGGTTCCCTGCATTAACTGATAAGAGCAGCACACTGTGCCTTAACTGTACGAACAATATGGCTTATGCTGAATACCTAGTTTCCTTCTGGGAGTCTGGAATTTTGGTATGTGCCAGTAAAGGCTGCCTACGTGACCAGCCCCCAGTAAAAACCCCAGGCACAGAATCTCTAATGAGCTTCTCTGGTTGACAACACCTGGTAATCCCATTTCTAGAGATCTGTCCCAGAGATACATTGGCAAAAACATGAAAGGACACATGCTGAAGGCTATGCACACCGTATTATTTTAATAACTAAAGTTTGAAAATAACCCAAAAGTCCATCTATAGGGGACTTACTGAATTAACTATGCTACATCCATATAACAGAATAGTATGCAGCTGAAAAAAAATGAACAAGGTCTCCATATACTGACATGAAGTAATTTCCAGGACATACTATTAAGTGGGGGTGGGGGAGTGAAAGCTGAGGCATATGAAAGTTTATAATACCTTTATGTAAGAAAGGGAGAGAAATATAAATATGTGTGTATGCACGTGCATACATGCGCTCACATTTAGAAAAGAAAGCACTAGAAGGACAGAGCTAACAAAAATGACTGCCCCTAGAGGAAGGAGGGAAAAGGTGAAGGGACCATGATGAACATGACACTTCTCTCTCTTCTCTCTTCTTATGGTTTCCATTTTGGAACCTTGTAACTATTTTACATATTAAAAAATATGTAAGATAAAAAGAAAAAAAATCCCCTAAATTGAAAACAAAGTAAAATGAATGAACCTAACTATCAAATAGGTGATATAATCACATATAGTTAAAAGAATTATTTCAACTTAATGTTAAAACACAACATTTTTTTTTTTTTTTGGTCTTTTTCCGTGTCCAGCAACGGATCGCAACCCTCAGTGTCGCCCCCGGACCGGACCGGGACCGGCAACGGGATCGCAACCCTCGGTGTTGCCCCCGCGCCTCGCTCAGCCAGTGAGCGGGAACCGGTCTGTATGTGGGATCCGAACCCTCGGCGGGAGCGCCTCCACGCTTCCCAAGCGGCGCACTAGCGCAGTGCGCCACCGGGCTGGCCCAAAACACAACATTTTGAATGTACATCCTTGGCAGAATATACTCTAAGGATAGAGAGCTGCAAAGAAATCTAAATTCTCATTTGGTAGGCTTATTGTTGTTATAATTTGCTCTTATTATTTTGAAGTCATTTAAATATACAATAGGATAAAGCAAATAAATAAGGAATTATGTTGATGTTTTGGGAACCAAGATTTTCAGCCTAAGATAAAAGAATCAAGTAGAAAAATGAAGAAGTAAAAATCCTATAATGTTAAAACTGAATTAGAAATATTACACAAACTGACGATTTATTTTCTTTTAAAAAATATAAACACATATATGTATATTTCCTAGTTATCTTTGAATACTATTCCTTGCTAAAAGAAGGGCTGATTCCAGGCCTGGGACAGGAAAGGTACAAGACAAGCTTAAGATAATGTGCCAGAAAGTAAAGAAGCTACCAAAGGATTGTGGGCTTACATCAAAAAGACAAGGAAGATGGGGATGGGGAATGAATAGGTGGAGCACAGAGGCTTTTTACAGCAGTGAAAAACAATCTCTATATTGTCACGGTAGATACGTGTCATTACACATCTGTCCAAACCCACAGAACGTACAATACCAAGAGTGAACTCTAATGTAAACTACGGACTCTGGGTGATAACCATGTGTCAGTGCAGGTCATCAGTTGTAACAAATGCACCCACTCCAGTAGGAGATGTTGGTAATGGGGGAGGCTGCGTATGTGTGAGGGGAAGGCGGTATATGAGAAATCTCTGTACCTTCCTCTTAATTTGATTGTGAATATAAAACTATTCTAAAAAATAGTCTCTAAAAAAATAAAAATAAAGAAAGACACTGGGGCCAATATGATGGGGCTCTTACTGGCCAAAGATGGGATGATTTGAGCATTAAAAAAAAAAAGGCAATTTATTGAAATATACTGATTATTTTAAAATAAACAAACAAAAAAGCTAAGAGTCCATAACAGTGCTCAAAAAGAAAAAGAAGAGATCCCTATTGGAGGTAACCAGGGCACTAAATCTCTACTTTGAAAATTGGCAATTAAAGAGAAAGAATGAAGAATTTATCCTGCTTTTCCCATAGTAACTCTATTTTGGGATAACCAAATAGCCCTAGTTAATGAGGGAAAGTTCTACCTTATAGAAGAATTTCAACTAATACAAGTGGAAAGCTATGATAGGATTAAACACAATTTGCAACCCTAATGGAAGAACTGATTCAGGCAAAGCTCACCAACAGATGAAACCATTAAAGGAAGGCGGGTAGGGAGGATGGCACTGCAGGGATCCGGCTGTCACCACCTGAACCACTGATCAGCTTCAGCATTAATTGGAAGGGCGACAACCTGACATCGTGTCTCCTGATGGGGAGCGACATGAAGCACACAGAACAATCACCAAGTGTTCTTACCAAAAAGTTGAATCTGAATGAAATCAAGATTTTGGAAGCAACTTTCAGTTTACAGAAAATATGGGAGAGGGGTAGGTAGAGAAACAAGTCAGATGACATTATGAAGAAACAAAGACCAATTTAGAATGCAAAACCGTCTAGAACTGATTTAGTACCTTCAATAAGGCAATGACATTAAAAAAAAAAAGTACAGGGTGGGGGAGACTGCTCTAGATGAAGGAAGATTAAGAACATATAATGATCACATGCAATGTGTGGGCCTTGTCTAGATCCAATTTCAGACAAACCCACTGCAAAAAGCCATTTTCAAAACAATCTGAAATTTGAAAATGGATTAATTATTCAACAATATTAAGGAGTGATTATTCATTCTGAGGTGTAATAAAAGCATATTGAAAAATGACCCCATAAATTCATTTTTTTTAAAATTAATATTATTATTTTTTTACATTCTATGATGCTGTTGTGGAGCAGTTGGGAGGGAGGGGGAGAGGGGAAAGGGGAAAGAAATAGGATGGAAGAAGGAGGGAGGAGGAGGGGTGGGATTGAGGCATGTGGCGCCTCCCTTATTCCCACAGGGGAGACCAGGGGGCTACCAGTGGTGGCTTTGATCCATATATTTTAAAGGTGCATAATGAAGTATGTAGGGATGAAATGACATAAAGTTTGGAATTTGCTTTAAAATCCTCTAGCAAAAAGAAAGAGAGAAAGCAAATAGGGATAGAATTAACAATGCATGTGAGTGATGGGTATGTGAGTGTCCATTACGCTGTTTGCTCCAATTTGGTACATGTTTTGAAATTTTTCATAACAAAACATTCAAGAAAGTGACGGAGAACAACGTAAAACAAGTTACACTCTTCTAACAAATTATCAGACATAGATAAGAATATTAAAATTTGTAAAAAAGTCATCTCAAATTTATCTTGATTAATTATAATACCGATGAAAAAAGCAGACTCAATCTGATATGCAACTGTCTTTCTAACTGAAAGTAAATAATAGTATTCCCTAACAAAATATGAATTCAACAAAAGTGATTTAGAAGAAGATTGAAATAAAATTACATTACAACCTCAAAACCAGGGTGATTGGCATTAAGTATGATATGAAGAAACTGAGATAAACTTAATAGCTTTTCTGATTTTTTACCAGCATAGGAATAAAACTAAGAGATTACATGTGGTGGAAAGACATTCCACCATACAGTGTGACATTTTGGAAATCTCTCTAACATGAGTAAAACCCTAAAATAAAGAGTGCTTAAATTATTTTTGTGAAAACATAAAAAATATGATCAAAACATGGTCAAATAACAAGACAATGACAGGTGAGGCTAAAGTATTCAGAGTTAAAGACTAGCAAGTGAAGTGGGGAAGGAAAACATTTCTATTTCCTACCACCTGCCTGCCATGGGGCCTTTGAGAAAAACCTCCATTCCGCTGTATTGTCATACAGAGGACTAGCTGAAAAGTTACAATAGCCAAGTTCTAATCTCAGTTTTACCAGGTAAAAGTTGTGACCTTGAGCAGGTCACTTAACCTTTCTGACCCTCCCTGAGCCTCAGTGAGTCTTAATTGCTACATGGGGAAATTGAGAATTAGGCATTTTGTTTTACTGCACATTATTGCTTTGATAGTGAATGCAGTAACTTACACAGAAGTACTTTGAAACCTCTCAGAGATTGAAGATGTAAGGTATTTTCTTCTTTTTCCTTCCTTATTATTATTGTTGTGGCTCTTGCTATTACTATTACAGGTCACATAATATTTGAAGCTTCAGATCTTAGTCAAAACAACCAAAGAATTGGAGGTTATTCAGAAAATGATCATTTAATTTGTGAACCAGCCAGTCTCTTTGCCTTCCTTTACTTTTCTACTTGGATTTTGGTTATTTTCATTACATATTTTACCTCTTCACTAAGAGGCCTGAAAAAAAGAGAAAAAAAAGCTGAAGTCAATCTGATTTATTTTGTCACTTGTTGACTTGGATGAATGACTGAGGTGGAGATGAGAGAATTAGTTCATCTATAGAGGTCTCTTATCTACATCTCTAATGTCTACTATGAGGATTAATACAAGTAATGGTATTATTTTGAGCATTTTATGTTATTTCATGAGATCCTCCTCCCTCCTTCATCACGAAAACACCCTATAAAGTGGAGTGTAGCAGAAAGAAAGGAAGTGTGGGGAGGGGGTGTCCCATGAGCAAATGTGTTTAAAAGCCAGATTTAAATGTGTACCCTAATACTGTAGGGCTCATCTATTAACAATCTGTCCACCTGCCAGCTCCCAGAAAATACCTCCAGTTTTGGAAAAGTCACATGGTTCTTGGATGAGACCCTCTGGCAAAAGCACAGAGCTCTCATGCCATCAGTGTTTAGCACTGGAAAGATACTCAGGAGCAAGGGTTGGTACTGTGGCTTCAAAATTGGAGCTGATGAGGCAGAGCTGGTGGAGGTCAGGGAATTTTACAGAAAGGCCTGACTGTCTGTCATATTGTAGCTTCCCTACACCTTAACAGCAAGGTAGGCTGACAGTCACTTACACTGGGAACTGAAGCCCATCTACCACACATACAGAGGCTTCTGTACCCAATCACGTGATTTACTGCTTGGTAAACTACATGGCATGGCCAAAAGAAAGTCAAAAAATGAGGATGACTTTTGGAGAGGCCCAAAGAGAAGAACTGATGGCTATAATCCTATACCAAAGACTACCACAGTTGGGGCAAGTTTAATCTGTGTATTTTTTGTTTTTCATTTTCAGATAATTTAAAAAGCTAACTTCTTGAGGGCAAGATCTGAATTTTTTTTCCACATTCCTTGGCTTAGCTAAGTGACACAGAAGATATATCACTAGGCTTGGCTAGTGATACTGAAGGCAGCAAAAGAACAAATTATATTGATGCCATCAGTTGTGTCCTCAAAGGGGCAATACAGTATAAAGGGAAAAAAACAGGACCCCAGGGCAGAATACTTGGGTTCTGGTGGTGATTTTCCTACTCACTAGCTGGGTACCTTGGATAAGGCATGAAATTCTTTCTGGGCTTCAGATAGCTCATCTGTAAAATGAGAGTGCTATAGACTGAACTTTTAAAATAACATTTAATGGATAAATAAAAATCGTATATATTCAAGGGTATAACATAAAGATTTGATATATGTATTCACTGTGCAATGATTACCACAAATTAATTAACATATCCATCACCACCCATAGTTACCATGTATGTGTGTGTGAAGACAATGTTTATGTCTCCCCACAGTTCATATGTTGAAATCTAATTCCCAATGTGATGATATTTGGAGATGAAGCCTGTGGGAGGAATAGGATTAATGCCCTAATAAAAGAGACCTTAGAGAGCTCCCGTGCCCCTTTCACCATGTGAGGACACATTGAGAAGACGGACGTCTATGAACCAGGAAGCGGATGCTCACCAGACAAGGTACAGAAGGTGACACATTGATCTTAGACTTCTCAGCCTCTACAACCATGAGAAATTAATTTCTATTGTTTATAAGCCACCCAATTTATGGTAATTTGTTATAGCAGCCTAAATGGACTAAGACAGAGGGGTTGAACTGAGGGCCCTTCCAGCTCTAACACTATAAGAAAACCATCAATCTGTTGGCAAGACAGCTCATGTATTTCAATTCAGGCACTATGCTCATCTGAACTGGCTTTGAGAAAATAAAGTTTGGTGTTTCTTTTATTAACAGGTAGTACTACCCTCCCAAAGGTAAGCCAGTCTTTCCATTCCTTATCATCCTTGCTTCTGGTCTTCTTGCCAATTTTACAACCTTCCACAATGGTCATTCTTAGTTTCTTCATCTTGCCCTTCCAGCAAGAAAAATAAGAGTGACATTAGCCTATATAAACACAAAAATGTACCTACTGCTACATGTCTGCAAAGAAACAGCAACATAACTTGTCATATGGTTGAGAATCACTGAAAAGGCATTTTATAAATACGGAGATGAAATTAGAAAGCAGGACTTACTCCTGGTTTTGCTCTCAAGTGATCTGTTTCCACCTACTTCCTCATTTGTCAGAAAGTGGAGAGGTTCTATGCTTTTTAACTAAATCCCAGGGCTCTTTACTCCTTCAATGGTACCCACGCATCTATACAGTAGTAAGCACTGTGCTTGCTGGAGCCCAGTCAGCCAGATGTGACAATTACCCAGCAATGGCAGGCATTCACCCTGAGCACATGGACTCTGGCAACCTGGGAGACAAGAATATCATCTACATATCCTGGACAAGTCTCATGTCTGGCACAGTTTGTAGAAACCAGCTAACCTACTCTGGTCCTGGTATGGTAGCCTCTCAGTAAATATTTTTAAAATCAATAGGATTCCTGTGGTTCTTTTCCTAGGCACCAATGGGAGTGTTCACAACCATAATATCTATGTACAAATTACATCTGTACAAAAACCAAAGATTGTATTTAGGTGATGGTTTCATTTCATGTACCATAATTCTTTCTGAAGGCTGAGGCTCAAAAATCTGGACTGTGTCCAGTTTAGAATCAGAACTTGTGTCATAGTAGACCCACAACCTGCTCAGTAAGTGAAGCCACCTCATTTAACTACACTTACATGGGGACCCCTGATGACTCGTGCCTTAAGAAAGTCTATGAGCATCTTAATCACACAGGGCCACAGGGCAACTCAGCAGCAAACAACAAAACAAAAAACTCCAAATTGCACATACCCCAAATTTTCATGAATCAAAGAGGTCAACAGCTAAGTTCCCATCAAGGGATTTTGTCCAGCAAAGGATACTGCAGGCCCGAGGCCACGGCACTGATGCGATAACCTCCCAGGCGCTGCCCACTCTCAGAGCAGTGCCAAGAAAATTGCTTGTCCTGTCCCGTGCTCAGCACCCACTCCAGCTCCAGGACAAACAGGATCATCGTCACTCTGCTCTGATGCGCTGAAAATCAAGAGACAAGAAAACCACCTGTAAAGCATCCTAAGGAGGCTGGAAAAGCATGGTCCACAGAGATGTATCACTCTCATCCCCCACCCCAGAATAAGCTGAACAGTATAACCATTTTAAAGACAGGGTATACACATGTTCTCACTTATTTGTGGGAGCTAAAAATAAATAAATAAACACGCTAACAAATAAGGGGGTGGGGAAGAAGACACAACAATCGCAAAAATTCCTTGAACTTTTTAAGTCAAGTGAACAGATATGATGTGGCGGGGAGAGGGGGGCAGAGAGGAACAGGTAAAGGGGCATGAAAATCAGCTATAATGTGTATTGAGAAGTAAAATAAAATTAAAGAATAAGTAAATAAAACACTACTTTAAAAAAATAAATAAAATAAAGACAGGGTATAACAGTGGTTCTCATCAGAACTAGGGGTATGCCCCTGTAGGAAAACATGTCTGAGTTTTTATATGATTTTTTAAAACTATCCATCTCTTCCCAGTGCTCCCCCCAACCCTACTTACACCAAGCATTAGGACTAATGCCACAGAGCCTCCCATTAGCAAAGGGCCTGGGCTACATCCCTCAGATATGCTAGGGCTGCTAGACTAGAGAACACCAGATCAGTGTGACCACAAAACACAATGAGAACAACATTCATATAAAACAGTCACGGTGGTCAGTTTATGTGCATTTACAAAAGAGTAAAGCACACTGTTCTTTTGATGGAATCGGTGTTATAAACTTAAAGTTCTAGTTGAACAGGTATCTGTCAGAAACCAAATGCTTGGAAAGGACAGAATTATTCCCAAGCGCCATAAAAAAGAGAACGAAATATCCCTTATGCCAAAGTGTGTGAATGTGTGTTTGTGTGAGACAATGAGAGTATAAAGTTATTCAGATTTCATAGAATGGGTTGGAAAGTTTTTCGTTTCTTCAATTTCTGAAAGGGTTTGTGTAGAGTTGGTATTGTCTCTTCCTTGAATGTTTTATAAAATTTACCAGTGAGACATCCGGACCTGGAGCTTTCTTTGTGGAAAGGTTGTAACAAATTCAATTTCTTTCATACATGTAGAACTAGTAGGATTATCTAGTTTCATAAGGTTTTGCTTCACATATTTCAAAACCATGTTATTAAGTGCATAAACATTTAGGATTGCTACGGCCTTCTGATGGACTGGACCTTTATCATCATGAAACAATCTTCTTTATCCATGGTAATATTCTTTGCTCTGAAATATATTTTGATATTAATAAAGCCACTCCAGCTTTCTTAATAAGCTTAGGTGATGGGCTAAATTAAATAAAATGATGAAAAACTGAATGTGAAGTCCAGTATTTAGACTAAAAACAAAAATAAAAATAAAAACAAGAAACAGCTTCAAAAATACAGGAGATACAGCCTAAGAACAACTAACTTCCACTCAAGGAGAGGAGCGGGAAGACCAGGAGGTGCTGATCATTAGGAATAATCTTAAAAGCTAACTACCACAATGTGTCATATTTTTAAACAGTTCTAAAGGTTCCAGTATGATATCCAAAATCTGTGACCAAAACAATTTTAAAAATTGTTTAAAGAATAGATGCTCAGGTTAGGTAAAGCAGCAGTTAGAGATGTAAAATCTTTAGGCTGGAAAAGAGAAGTGAAAATGAAGACTGAAGGAAGAGAGGGAAGGACAGCACTGAGAAATTTCATTGCTGTTTTAAAATAATCAAAAGGCTGTGATGTGTAAGAGAGATTGTGCTCAGTTTTTGTAGCTCTAGCAGGCTAAGCAAAGACCATTAGGGGAAGATTCTAGCACATATCATACAGTATTTTAATGGTCTATTTATTTGTCTTCATCCTCCATGTGGTTATAAACTGCTTATATTCACTATCAAAATCTTCAGTTATTAGAACATAGTAGGTACTCAATGAATATTTGATGAGTGATGTGTGAAAAAATTAAAGAATACTACTATAGGGAAATGAGTCTTAGCTCCAAATGTTAAAATGAAGAACTTACTGCTTAGAATTTTCCCCAATCAGAACGTGTTGCTCTGTCTCTGGAGGTATTAAAGGAAAAGAGGGATGATCACACAGAATGAATGAGGTCCGAGATCTGGATGAAATGACCTCTAAGTGTTAAAAGTTCCACTTACAATGTTCTGATTGTATGACACTGTTGGTCTGGAAAAAGAAATCCCTTACAAAAATTGCTTCTGATCTATACTATGAAGATGGCCTATAAAATTCTGCCAATGTTAAAGACATGATAAAAGCATAATTCTTGCCTGTGGACAATACAAATACTCTGAGCATTTTTTAAAAATTAACCAAATACGAAATGAGTCCCATTTAAACTTTTACACTGGCTTCACTTTCCAAGCCTGCTGCACTGTGTGGTATAATAGGAAGACATAGGCTATGGGTCTGGGAGTCACACTGACCTGGTATGGCTTTGTACTTGATCAGCCAGAGAATCACAGGCAAGTCACCCAAACTCTTTGGGCCTCAGCTCCTTAATTCAAAAACTGGTATAATATTCGCCTGAAAGGATGGCTCTGTTTTGTTCCCCTGACTGTTGCAAATATTCTCTTGTGATAGTTAAAAACCATCACTGGTTTTCAGTGATCAAAAGTCTTTATATGGGTAATGGTAATGGGTAATGAAAACACTCCTTTCACTCCCTACCTTGATAGTTTTTCACAGGAGTCATCTTGTTATAATCTTCTGACAAAATAAACTCCTGAAAAAGAAAAGAAAAATTTTAAGCAAAAGGAAATTCTTTAAGTGAATAACTATGTTTTGGTAAAACCAGATAGTATAAAGCAAATTATCACCACAATTACATCTCATGTTAGTATTTTGCTGATCAACTCAGCATTTCTGTAACTCTTTAAAAGGAACAATCATAATTATGATCGAACATGATTACCATAATTCTTACCTTATATCTCTTAAATTAACTTTTTTTGTGTATGTGTAAGAAGAAAACCAGATCAAGTTCAGAGTGTTGATAAAGCAGATTCAAAATACTTTAATCTCAAGGGTGTCACAGCTGAAAATTTGCAAGGCTCTGGCCAGTGAGCAATTAAATGGCAATTCTCTACTAGAGAAATAAATCAGATATTTTAAAGATTCTGTTTCTAACATCAGCAATTTATTTCCCCTTACTTATTACAAGCTTCTCGAGGCTGTATCTTACTTGTTCTCTGTATCCCTAGGGCACTTGGCACAGTGCCTCGGCCCAATAGGTAATCAATAAATATTGGTCAGATATGTGGAAGGCACTTCCCAATCTGATGAGCTTATTTGTATGTCAAATTTACTGGAAAAAAATCAGATTCTGTATAGCACATTGTATATACTCTTTGTGCGGACACATAAAAGGTATGTGTGATTTCACCTAACATCTATGTACACAGTGACCTATATGTGGAAGCCAATCAAATGTTTATGAGTCCCCCAGCCAGGTTTTAAGTCCCTTACCTTCTTTCAAATGCAAAATATCCACACAATCTTACAAAGTAAGTTGTCAAACATAAGGAAAGCTGCAAAGTATAATAAATTGATGCCTTCACCTGAGCTTAAAAACAGAACAATGAATCTTTTCAAAACATTTGGAAGCATCCAGAATTTCTCTTTGATGATTTAAAAAAGTGGGAGTGGGAGAACAGACACATAAACTCCTTACTTGCTATATGGGTGTTTACTGAGGTCTTACAGTTTGTGTAATTTTTTAGAAGAAAACAATCATTTTACTGAAACGGTAAAGTGGGAGGTGATGTGAGAGAATATACAAGGCAACAAAGTCCCTTTGGTTATTCACTTTCCTATCCCAGCCCCCTTTAAGAAGCTTATCTACAAACCGATTTTTCACTATGATTTTCTCAGTAATAACATTAATTCAACTTGTCACTTTTTAAATTCATTTCATTATTCCTTCAAGGAATGGCATTATATTCATTTCTCATTTCTGAAGAGTTAGACTCACAATTAAACAAAGCAGACTGATTTTTATTTTTGTTTGTTTTTTTGTTGGCATGCTGGTACAGGGATTGAACCCTGGACCTTGGTTGTTAACAGCACCACGCTCTAACCAACTGAGCTAACCAGTAAGCCCCCAGACTGATTTTTAAAGAAGTAAAGTAGCTTGCCCATAAGGAGCTTATAGTGTTAGGAAAAACTGCCAATTCACTATCAACCCTTAATCGCAGGCAAAAAGGACTGGGATAAAAGGTCCACCCTGAGCCGCACATTTGAGAAGGCCCCAAATATCTTTACACACATACAAAAAATAAATTTATTAAAGACAACTGTTATTTGGACAAGTGTTCACTGAGTTCACATGGTTCATATTACTCTGAACATACTGAAATGGTTCTCTAGTTTGGTCAAAAGATACATCAATTCCTTTTGGAACAAGGTATAAAGTAAAACAATTTGATGTGGGTTTGCTTCTAGTATTTAATATATACATAAAAAATAAAATTACCAGTTCACTGCATTGGTAAACCTAATTTTTTGTTCATTTTTTCCCCTATAAGAAATACATAATCATAGAGAAAATTTAGAAGATTTTGTCAGTTTTCATTTTTTCCTTTTTGATCATAGAAACAATATGCTATTCTAAGACATGTAAGGATAAACATTAAAAAATCCTTTGTGAGGGCCGAGCCCGTGGCGCACTCAGGAGAGTGCGGCGCCTGGGAGCGCAATAGCGCTCCTGCTGTGGGTTCGGATCCTATATAGGGATGACCGGTGCAGTCACAGCGCTCACTGGCTGAGCGCGGTGCGGCCGGTCTCAAAAAGGACAAAAAAAAAAAAAAAAAA